ATACTGAGACAAATTTCAGAGCATTTATCTGACAGTGAAGTCTATAATAATTATAATCTGCACAATTATATCTGATAATGCCAGCTATATCCATTCAAGAGCCTGACACATAATGGTAATAATGAATTTCTTCCATTCTGATTTGATCACTGCAAAACATTTTACAAANGGCTTTAAATCAGAGGAAGAAGCATCAACAAGCTGCTAATGACACTACAGGTAGTGGTCATTTAGCAACCTCATTTGCTGTTATGACAGTAATGAAAAAGTAACTTAATAACCAATATTCCCTTTTACAATCTTCAAAAATCTGTAATGAAAGAAAAGCTGAAGTAAGATCATAAGCACAGTTCTGGCTTCACTTTACAACAAAATTACCAGTCCCAGTTCTAGTCACTAAATGAATAGTCACTCTAATATCTAGAAATGCAAAGGATCTGCAAGTTCTAGTAATAAAAGTTGAGGAGCACAGTCTAGGATTAAACATAAAGTAACATTTGCAACAAACAACCTTAAAATTGGCAGTGAATATACTAAAGTGGTAGGTATCTTCTGCCTATTAGGACCAACCATCATTAGTAAAGAAGTAAACAATCAAGAAATATTGACAAACTAGCAGACATGAAAGTCTTGGAAAAGATATTCAGATGTCACGATGTGTTCATATTTACAAAGATAGTGTCCTCTTTGACACTCTGTAGAAGCGAAAATTGGATCTTGCAGAAGCAGAATAGAAAGAATATTGACATTTTTGAAATTTGAAAACTCCTGAAAATACTATGAGCAGCTAAAAAAATTGATCATTGCACAGATCAAGCCAGTGTTCTCACTCGAGGCACAAATTATCCAACTATGGACACATTATGCAAAGATCTGGAGAAGGCTGGGAAAGGTGGAAAGGAAAGAGAAGAATAAAACACTGGAAGAACTGAAGGATCAGGTTGGAGACATATCATTATGGAGAAAATGTATGTGGCTGCCAAGAGTTGATGTTGACTTGATAGCACATCAATTCTGAAGAAGTTACTAATTATTGTTGCTATTGTTATTATTATATCATTGGAGTTACACGTCAGACTCAAAGGTCCAAGAACCATGTAATTACATTCCAATGTATGAAGCATAACTTTTTCATCTACTGCTGTTCTCTTAAAAAAAAATCTGGATAATATAGTTCTAGATTCAGGCTCCCTTTGAAACAAATTATGTACTATCGTCTTGACCAATGGTTTTCACAACCACCCCTTCCCATTCCTTTTTGCATCTAGCCTGGAAGCCACTGGCTAGCTTTGGGCAGTATGATTTTGCTGAATTAATGATGATTTTGCTGATCTCCAATAGCATGAAAATATAAGTAAAAAATTTAATACTATTTACTGTTCCTTAAATGGAAATTGTCCAACTGAGGTCAGTCCTATGTTCACAGAATTCGCTCTTAGAGTGTTTTTAGCTGAAATTTTAATTTAAAAAGACACATTGCATCAGACACCTTTTGTCCATGTGGGTGGAACAGCTACGTGCAGCTTTTAATGTTCTGTTTCTTTAACCTGGAAGCATGTAGTATTCATCGGCAACATGAGCCTATTAGCAAGCTTCAGTGTCGGAAGCCATGAAAAATAATGAGTATAATTCATTCACTCCATATGCAGTTTTGCATCTATTCATAACCTCTTCATTGAGGACAAAAAAAATGCTTCGGTTCATTACAATTTTTAGAGTTCAAAAGTAATTTCATTGATAAGGTCTGTGTTACCGTCATAATGTGTCTACCTACACATGTATGAGTCACCATTTCTTTTCATTATTCTAACTCTTAAAAAAAAAGAACAAACTGTCTGGAATTTTTTTTTCCTTACCTCATTTGCTCTCTATTCTTAACATCAGGATACTTTACCTCCTTTTCACCTGAGATTTGCTCTGACATTCAAAGTTAGGTAATGCTGCTGTTGTATTATGTTTGGCTTACAGCTAATCCTTGCTTAATGACCATTTGTTGAGTGCTGGAGTTATGACAGCACCGAACAAATGTAGTAAGGGCTGGTTCTCAAAGTTGTGGTTGTTGCAGCACCCCTCACAGTTGCAGCACCCTCCATGGATATTGCAGTACCCTTCATGGTCCCCACCCATCACAGGATCAAAATTTGGGTGCTTGGCAGTCCACTCATATTTAAGATAGCTAGATGGACTTCAACTCCCTCCATCCTCCTAGCTCCCCCAACTCTGCCCCTTTTGGATACCCCACTGCCCAGCACTCTACCCTGCATTCCCACCAATGGTGGGATTCGAACATTTTACTACCGGTTCTGTGGGTGTGGCTTGTAGGTGTGTGTGGCTTTTTGGGCATGGCTTGGTGGCAAGGGGGGTTTGGTGGGCATGACAGGGGAAGGTTACTGCAAACTCCCCATTCCCTCCTGGTCAGCTGGGACTCGGAAGGCAGAGAATAGATGAGAGTAGGGCCAGTCCCAGGTGGTATTTACCGGTTCGCCGAACTACTCAAAAATTTCTGCTACCGGTTCTCCAGAACTAGTCAGAACCTGCTGAATACCACCTCTGATTCTCAACACCTATCCTATGTCTGATCCAGTACAATAGCCTCTCAACTTTGATCTCCCAAGGATAATCTGGACAGCACTCAACTAGATTTGAACCAAACATGGCAGGTGCAAATATTAGAAATATAAATGTGGACT